TTGCCGCGGGCGCCTGGCCATCGAGCTTCGCATAATCCATGAAGAGCCGCCCAGGTATGCAGAGCTCAGGCCCGACCTCCTTGACAACGTCGTGGCTGTAGAAATTTGTGCACAGTAAGTTGGGCTTAACCCTGTGCTTCAGAAGCGCCGCCTCCTCGCGCTCAAACGAGCGCGAGGTAACTTCATAAAAAGGCGCAGACGGCACCAGAGTCCGCGACCCTGTGCGGCCCTTGCGCGTGTTGCAGGGAATCTCCGTGTAGTGCAGCAGCTGGCGTTCCACCTCGGTGCCGCCGAGGAGCTTGTACACTGCTGGCGAAGCATTCCTGTTGTGCTTCATGTCGCGCGCCAGGTCCTCCACGCCGAGCCCCTTCGAGCGGGTGATTAAGACGCACAGCTTGAGGAGTAGCGCTGCGGACATCTCGCCAGCGAAGAATAACCCCAGCAGCGTATCGCGGAGTTGCTTAGGATAGTCAGCCTCGGGATCGGGGCCGCGTATCACAGCCTGCGCATGCCTGCGAATACGAGCCACCCCAATGGCGCTGTCTGCCATCAGCAACTCGTGTCCGCCCCTCCGAAACTGCTTGAAACTGTGGCGCTTCCCAGCTGCTCCCTTGACAGAACGGGCGCTCCCCATGGGTGCGCCGAACTCGGGGCGATGCTGAAACCGACCGATCCTCGAGCCAAAACGGCTACGGAATTGGACAGTTCCTGATCGACTTGCGTTGAATTGCGTTGCTCTGACGGGCCATTGCGACCTTTGCGGCGAGACATCCGAGAGGACGCATGGCCGCATGCAAGACAGCATTGCGCCTCCACCACCTGGCCCACAAGGCCGACCAACGCTAGCAACATTCGGCCTCACATCAAGATAGGGCGCGGCGGGGGTGGCAAGAGGAGCACGGCGCATGGGGGAGGGGGGCACGATGCGATGATGCAAGACCTTCGGGCACCAGAGGTGGCCGCGGATGCACGACCCTCGGAAACCAGAGACGGCAGCGAATGCGAGACCATATTGCAGCGAAAGCAAGGCCCGCGAATGCAACGCCCTCGAGACACATATGGCCATTTGCATGGGAATGACCGCCGATGGCCGAGACCGCAAGGCCCTCGGACATCAGAGCTGATCTGGGACAGCGCAGAGGATGGCTGGGACATTCGGGCACCCCGTTCCCACGGGCGGCGCGCACCTTGAGATGCCACTCTATCTCGAGAACGTGTCGACAGTTGGCTGTCCAACGACTACGAGTGTCACGCCCGAACTGCGGGCGACGAAAACCGCGCCGACAGTGACGCCGCACGCACTAGGCTCGGTCCGCGCCCGACCGTGAAAGAACGCTTGCTGCTGGCTCTCCTCATCATCCTCCCGCTCCTCCTCCTCCTGCTCCTTCTCCTCCTCCTCCTCCTCCTCCTCATCCTCCTCCTATTCCTACTCATCCTCCTCCTCTTTCTCCTCCCTTCCCCATCATCATCACCCTCCTCGTCGCCATCCTTTCGTTGCCACCAGCCCTTCATGGTGATGGATGCGAGCCTTCCTCGTCGTCCTCCTCCTCCTCATCCTCCTCCTCGTCCTCATCGTAACAGTCTCTGTCCTCCCCCGACGCTGGGGTGGGGCGGGGTCACCTGGGGGTGTCGCTCAACTCGCCACTCGCACCTCGCCCTTACATTCGCCCCTGTATTACCATTATTGCCACAGCCCCCGCTCACATCGGCATTATTCTCGCAGCCCTCGTTCTCATGGTCTTCACACGGAAATAGTCGGACCAGGGGGCGAGCGACGGGTTGAACGACGCCCCCCAGACGCCGCTTGCACCCGCCTCGCAGCGAGTCGTAGGCGCACGTGCCTAGAAACTTCGACGTACTCAGCCATCCAGCATCTCGAAGTCCGTCAGCCACTGCTGCTGCTGCTGGTGCAGTCAGACTCTGACGATGAAGGCGTCGAACGATCCTTGATCGGCGACGCTCAATCCCCCCGCGCCCTCCTCGCCACTTTGCGCAGCATGCGTTTACGCCAGTCGCTCGTCCCACCCTCGACCTAGCCCTCGGCCAATACCCTTTCAGATGACAGTCAGATCTGAACCAGATCTGACTGCCATCCCCGCCGCCCTCCCCAGAGCCACCATCGTCGCCGTAGCCCCCATCGGCCCCCTGGCCATGATACTCATCACCCTCAGCGGCCCCTCCCCATAGTCGTATCCCTGACCGCCCCCAGTCCCCGCTCACTGCTCCCCCATCCTTGCATATACCGACCTCCTGGCTGTCAGCATCCGATGGTTCCCCGTGCTCTGAACAGGCGTTGCCAATCCTCCTAATCAGCTTACCTGCCCTCTTGCAGTGGGAGGGCGGCGGAGCGCTGGCCGACGGGGTGACGGGGGGTGGGGGAGGGGGGGGGGGCGTCGCAGGTCCGAGGTCGGCGATACGAAAGGGTGGAGTGAGCGCATCTAGTATTCAGCCCCGTGTCCTCCTTCTCCTTTTTCTTCTTCTTGAACTCCGCCGTCTTCGCCTCCTCGGCCGCCTTCGCTTTGATTGCCGCTGCCGCCGCCTTTGCCTTGGCTTTCGCCTTCGCTTTGGCCGCCACTGTCAACTTCTTAACCTTCTGCGTCGGCGTGGGCTGCTCCTCGTCAGACTTCTCGTTGTGTTTTTCTTTCTGATGTTTATACTTATTGTCAGCTGTCTTGCTCTTCAACTTGTCGTGTGTGGCCTTCTTCTTTTGAGCGTCCACATCACCATCCTTCTTGTCCTTCTTCTTCGGGGGGCCGTCCGAGTCATCGTCGCGCTCCTTATTGCTCTTCTTATGCTGTTTCTTCTTCTTCTTCGGGTCTGTCTCGCCCGAACTTTCATCGTCCCTGGTCTTCCTCTTCTTGGCATTCTCCTTGTCCTGTGTGTCCTTACCATGCTTCTTCATCTTCTTCTTCTTCTTCTGCTTCTTGGCTGGGCTTGACGCCTCGGTGGTGGACGCGCTGACGGACACTTTTTTCTTTTTCCTCTTAGTATTCTTCTCGGCCGTCTCCCAGTTATCCCAGTCAGAGGTGTCCCACTCCTCGTCTTCGGCCTCCTCGTCCTGGCACTGGTCGGCATCGTCCGCATCATCAGCGGTCGTCGGCTGGGCGGCCTTGGAGCTGGCGCTGCCGCCCGTCTCGATGATGCCCTCCTTTCTGGTGCCGTACGTCTCCAACTTTCTGGTATGATAGTATACCTTCGATTGCTGCTTCTCGTCCCATTTCACGAGCTGGTTGCGCCTGCAGAACTCTTGGAACCTCTCTGCGATCTCAGGGCATTTGAGGACATCCGCGAGCTGCTTGGGGTTCAGCCACTGCCCCTCAGTACTAGTCTCCTGCCTGGCGGCCGACGCACTGCGACTGCCACGCTCGGACGAGGAGGATGGGGGGGAGGTTGCAGCAGGGCCTGGAAGTCGACATGGGCGATGCCAAGTGGTCATGCACCCTGGGTCTGGGTCGCCCATGGCAACCACCGTGCACCCCCGCTGCAACCTCACGCCCCCCCCCCTGCGCCCATGAGTGGCCAGGGCCAGTGCTTCAGCCGCGGTGCCACATCGTCTTCCTCGCGATGAGGACTGTCCCAGCCGCGGCGAAATCGCGGTCGCAGCGGTTCCACACCTCCCGCAGCTGGGCTTTCACCTCGGGACGCGCGCCCGCCCTACCGCCCTCGGCTCCACTTGCCTACCCCCCGTGGCCTGAGGACGAAGGGTGCCCTGGGGACGAAGAGGGGGGTTCCCTGAGGGCGATGGGGCGGGTGCCCTGGGAATGCGTTCTGGGCGCCCTGAGGGCGAAGAGATGGAAATGACATATCGCTTCGGCTCCACAAATCCCCATCCACTCCTCCTCAACCTCCCTCGCCTAACTTCAACCATCCGTCCTTCGTCCTCCATCGACCCTCCTCCGTCAGCGTCGGCGCCAGCGTCGCTGTCATCATGCCGCCTCCAATCCTACGTAGCACCTCAGATTCCGACCGCTCCTGCAATAACGCAGCACCACCTTGCTGAGCCACCTCGCCATCACTTGCCCTGGCCCCAACCCCTCACCCCTCTCGCACTCATCCAGCTCACCTTGCTAATCCTGACTCTTGCAAGCATCTTCACCATCATCGCAATCATCATTACCCTACCGTTCTGGCCACCGCCATCGTCCTCTCCTCCCCATCGCCTTCCTCCTGATCATCATAGTCAGAAGCGTCGTCCGCATGTTTAACCCCCGAGAGCACCGTGTTGCACTTCGAGCTCTGATACTTCTGCACGAACTCGCTGATCTCGGGAGAGAGCTTCTGGCGGGGCGTCCCATCATCGTCCACGATCTCCTGCATGTGCCTGCTGAACATCCTGTCACGCGACGCCTCGGCTCGCTTGGAGCGCATTGACCTGGGCCCTCGTTTTTCTGCTCTTGCACGACAAGCTGGCCTGCTCCCTGCATCGCGAAGCGACGGTGGACGGGGTCGGGCTGCCTGCAAGCCGAGCCGTGCGCCGGCGTGGGCTGGCAACCCACTGAACCTTCGGGCCAGCGCAGCTGAAACGGGATTGTGACGAGATTGGGGTAGGGACTCATGGGCATGAGGGGCTGGGGCGCATTCGGGCGCCACGAAAGCGGCTAAAACATGTCACCAGTCCCCCGAGCAACGTCCAGCCGAGGCGACGAGGAACCCCCCATCCTCCAACGGCCAGCAGAGACAACCGCTGCTTCAACTGATCCCTCACAGAGCATCCTCCCTTTTCAAACTCGACAACGTCGATCCTCGAAGACGAGGGTAAATTCTTGCCCACCGAGATGGGGTCCTACGGGTGCCTCGGATACAGGCGGCGACAAGCGAGCCTAGTTCGATTCCAAGCTACGGGATATTGAACCAGGCCTGCGATTCCTGAGACCACTCAGCCGTGCGCTTCCAGACGCCAGTTTGGGCGTCAAGAGAAAATTTCAACATTGGCGTAATAAAAATCTTACGCCCGCGGTAGTCGAAACCCTCATAGGTACAAGGGGTTCCACCACCATCACCTCCAGTCTCGAACAGGAACGAGGACTTCAAGATGATATTGTTCTTGTCGGGGCGAAGACCAGCACGGCTGTCGAAATATATACTGAAAGTGCCATCCCCGAAATTCCACGAACCGTGCCAACACGTGATATTGCTGCCACACTGCCACTGTACAAGACCAGTTTGTTCATTCAGGTATAGCACGCCCTTCTGAAATGCGTGTGCAACGTCCTCGTTGAAGTACTTGTAAGCCGTCACTGTCCTGGGATGAGCTACTGGAGCCAACGCCATGGAGGGTGTTAGCGGTTGGCAGGGCACCGTCACGATTGAAGGGTGTTCGGTCCCCAAATGGCGCCTGACAAGGAATTGTTGCCAGGTATATAGTAGTAAACCGCAAGTTCCATGCAAATTAGCTATGTTGGATACGAATTAGAGCTGCATTCTGATCAGTTTCGCGACATTTTGAAGGTAACACGGACACGTTTTACGGCGATTCTACTAGACGTCATGACGTGACATGCATTCGTCCCAACGTTTTGCAAAGTTGTTTGCAAATCATTCCTTCAGCACGCAGAATTGTGGAGTTGTTTTCTGTCCGTATATGTCTCATGTCGTGTTTGTGTGTCTGTGGATGTCTGTGTTTGTCTGTGTTTGTCTGTCTGTGTGTCTTAGGGTGTCTGAGTTTGTCTGCATTTGTCTGTCTTTGTGTCTGTTGATGTCTGTGTTTGTCTGAGTTTGTCTGCGATGTGTCTGTGTTTGTCTGTCTTTGTCTGTCTTTGTCTGTATTTGTCTGTCTTTGTCTGTGGTTGTCTGAGTTTGTCTGAGTTTGTCTGTCTTTGTCTGCCTTTGTCTGTGGTTGTCTGAGTTTGTCTGAGTTTGTCTGTCTTTGTCTGTCTTTGTCTGTGTTTGTCTGTTGGTCTGAGTGTGTCTGAGTATGTCTGTGTTTGTCTGAGTTTGTCTGTCTTTGTATGTCGGTGCTTGTCTGCCATGCCTTAGTTCTCGGCCCGAGAACTCAGACATGTCGGCCCGACAACTCAGACATGTCTGAGTTTTCGGCCCGAAAACTCAGACATGGCGGCCCGAGAACTCAGACATGTCTGAGTTTTCGGCCCGAAAACTCAGACATGGCGGCCCGAGAACTCAGACATGTCTGAGGTTTCGGCCCGAACAATGTCCGCGGATGTCTGAGTTTGTCTGAGTTTGTCTGAGTTTGTCTGCGTTTCGGACCCGAAAACTCAGACATGTCTGAGTTCTCGCACCGAAAACTCAGACATGTCTGAGTTTTCGGCCCGAAAACTCAGACATGGCGGCCTGAGAACTCAGACATGTCTGAGTTTGCGGCCCGAGAACTCAGACATGTCTGAGTTCTCGGGCCGAAAACTCAGACATGTCTGAGTTTTCGGCCCGGGAACTCAGACATGTCTGTGTTTTCGGGCCCGAGAACTCAGACATGTCGGCCCGAAAACTCAGACATGTCTAAGTTTTCGGGCCGAGAACTAAGACATGGCTGAGTTCTCGTGTCGAAAAGCTCGGTCATGTGTGAGTTTGCTTCTTGGCTGAAACACTAAGACATGTTTAAGTATTCGGGCCGCAATCCCAGACGCGGCTTCGCCTTCGGGCCCGACAAGGTAAGACCTGCCCAGAAGATTGCTGCATGTTTCATCAGTCGGCCATGCAATTAAGATGTGCCAGCGACCCGCTTGTGCGTTGTAAGTATGGCAAAGCGTTTCGCGCGCGGGACGCTTGCGAATTGAACATGTTGCACATTGTTTCGCGCGCTTCGCGCGCGAAGGTGCCGTGCATTACCCGCGCTTCGCGCGGATCCTTTATGAGTTGCATATATGTATATATGTATATACACACGTAATTCGTAATCTATATATCTATAACAAATGGTGGTGTTTCGCTTTGTGCCCGAAGACTGTGCGAGTTTCACGTGTTACAACAGCGATGTCGTTGGCTTCGCGCGCCAAGCGCATGGGAGTTGAGACTATGGGTAGCAGACGTTGCAAACCGAAGGCCTGGCGCCTGCGTGTATGGGCTTCGCTTGCCGAGGCTAAGGCGCGGCGGTTGCGCCCCTGCGTTTTGGCAGCCGAACCTATCGCGCTACCAATGCTGCGCCGTGGCCACGGAGCGCGCGAGGGCAGCCGCGAACTTTACCAAGGGGAGCGCACATGTGGGCCCCCGCATTTGGTCCGAAAACGGCCGCGCTGCCTATGAGGCCACGGGTCGTGCGAGTGGTGCGCGGCGGGGGCACGCATGCCGACCTTCACAATATGGCCGTCGGTGGGTGCCGAAATGCGGCAGGCGGGCGCATCTGCACCTTCACATTCGGGCGCCGAAATGTGTGAGGGTGCGCAGCAATGGGGCGGGGTGGTGCTTACGGATCCCACCCGCATAAGGGCGCTCGGTGGAACCCCCCATGGGGCCGCGAAGCGTGTGTTGGGTGCGCCGACAGGATGTTGATGTGCGCATCTGAGCGCGACCCTTGGGGCCTTCGGTTGGGCCCCCCAACGGAGAGACGAAACGAGTCTTCGCATGGGCCCGAGTCGCCACGCTCCTGCTGCACCACTTGGGGCACCCGTTTTCGTTAGCATGGAATTGCGCACCTGCTTACGAGCGGCACCGCTATCACATCAACGTGCTGCGGAAGAGCGGTGCGAGATTGATAGGGGGAGGGCGCATTGCGTGCGCCACCCCCCGCGTGTGTTTTTCGGCAGCGTTCCAGAGCCCCCGCGACTGGCCACGCAACGTGTGATGGGGGGCGCAGCATTGGTTGCCGTGCCAGGGGGTGGGCGCGGGGGGGGGGGGGGGGGAAGCGCACGCAGGGGCTTCGCAGGGGCTGGCAGGGCTTAGCAGGGGTTGCGCATGGCTTAACAGGGCCCAGCACTGGCGTAGCAGGGCGTGGCTCAGCATTGGCTAACAGGGCTCAGTGGCTAGTAGGGCTGAACAGGGCTTAGTAGGGTTTCACATGCGTCCAAAAAGCTCAACAATAATGCCTTGTCAAGCTTATTTGGGCTTAACAAGGGCCACCAGGGCGTTGCATGACCTTGCATGGCCTACCAGTGACTAGCATTGCTTGACATGGGCTATTTTTGCGCACCAGGGCTCCGCAGCGGCCCCGCAGGTCGATGCAGGGCGCCCCCCGCCCACTTGACTCCACCCTTGGCCTCGGGATGCATGCGCGCCCCAATCCCGCCCTGGAACCCATGGGGCCCCGACCCCGAGACTGAACCCTTTAGCCACGGGGTGTCCTGCGCGCCCCAAAACCGCTGGAGCCCTTGGACTATGTGGAGCCTCTGGCTCGGACCCACGGAGCCCCTGGTCACCGACACTTAGAATGAACCCATAGGCCCTGGGAGGCCCTGAGCGCCACAGAGCCCCTGGAGCCCATGGGCCACTTGGAGCCCCTGGAACCCCTGGTGCACCTGGGGCACCCATCTCCTAGACTGGACCCCATAGGCCCTGGGCGCCCCAGGGCCCCGAGCCCCTGGGGCGAGAAGAACACGCGAGCATCCGAGACCCCATCCCTAGACCCAGGCGGGAGCGGAATGGGTGTGCCGAAAGGCATATGTCAGGAATGTGCGTGCTACAAAAAAGTATCTTTGCAACGGCTTGGCGTCGGTATGGCAACGAATAATCATGTGGCAAATGCTTGACATCGGTCTGGCCGCAAAAAAACGCCCGTGCTCTGGCACCAAGACTTGCACGCGCGGCAGCGTGCATCACTCTGGAGCGGGGAGCGGTCGGCGCCGCCAACAAACAATATGAGGCTGTGTACTGTCCAAGGCGTAGCTGGGACCACATATGAGCATGTCACAGACGAACCGCACATGAGGAAGTCTCAAGCGACACCCTAGGGCGTTTGTCATGCTACATCGGTGGCCCCTGGAGCCATCGGGACCTCTGGAACACTTGGAGCCTCTAGAACCCCTGGGGCCCCTGGGGTACCTGGGCCCAACGGCTGAAACCTAGGCCCGAGCCACCGCTGTCCCCCAGAACACTTGGGGCCACTGGAACCCTTGGAACCCTTGGAGCCTGACCCCTAGGCTAGACACCGCAGGCCGTGGGAAGCCTTGGGCACACCGACACCTTCGAGCTCCTGCAGCCCCTGGAACACGTGGAGCCTGTGGAATCCTTGGGACCCCATTCATCCCCCGACCCTTAGACTGAACCCCTAGGCCCTGGGAGGCCCTGAGCGCCCCTGAGCCCCTGGAGCCCCTGGAACACGCGGAGCCCCTGGAACCCTTGGAGCACCTGGAGCACCCGAACCCAAAGACTGAGCCCCTAGGCCCTGGGAGGCCCTGGGCGCCCCGGAGCCCCGAGCCCCTGGGGCCACAAGACCACGCGAACATCCGAGACCCCGACCCCTAGACCCCAGGCGTGAGCGGAGCGGTTGAGCCGAAAGGCATGTGACAGGTATATTGTTGCTTCGGCAACAAAGGATGGACTGTCATTCGAATCAATTGGCACCGATCTGTCAACGAGGACTCGCATGGCAAATATTGTGCATCAAAGGCATGTGATCATCACAGAAAGCTGGCACCACCGATGAGAAGAACCACGCGCAGGGAGAAGTCTGCCACGAGGCCACCCGCGCACCACGATGGCTTGATAACGCATGGGCTACGCACCAACGTGCTTGTGCACAAAAAGATGGAGGCGGTGCAACCAACCGCTGAGACCACTGATGGGTATGTCCCAAGCGAAACGCCCAGGAGCAAGTCTCAAGCGAACCGCCTAGGGTGCGTTTCGAGCTATACACTTGAGATCCATGGTGTCATTGAAGCCCCTGGAGCACTTGGGGCCACTGGAACCCCTGGGACCCATTTGACCCCCTAGACAGAATCCATTGGTAGTGTCACGCCCTGGGCGCACCCGAATAACAGAGCCTCTGGAACAGTAGAAGCAAATGTGAATTGTGGAATCCCTGGGGCCTGACCCCTAGAATGGGCCCCAGATAGCTCGTGAGAAGCCCTGAGCGCACCGAAACCTTCAGAGCCCCTGGAACACTTGGAGCATCTGGAATCATTGAAACCCCTGGCCCCCGACCCCTAGACTGAACCCTAGGCCCTGGGAGGCCCTGAGCGCCCCAGGGTAACGCCCCTGGAGCCCCTGGGGCCCCTTGAGCCTCTGGAACCCCAGAAGCCCCTGGAGCACCCGACCCCTGTACTGAACCCGCAAGCTTTGGGAGCCCCTGGGTGCACCAGAGCTCTTGGAGCCCATGGCACCTGCACATGGAGCCTCTGGAACCCCAAACGC